ATTCTTCAGACAGTACTAACTTGATTTCTTTGTAGCTTTCTTTCCTATGGGTTACCTTCTGTTGCTCTGCCAATGACTATATTTGTGGTGTTTTCAGGATTCATTAGGCATACTTTTTCCAACTTTTAGGTTTACCATCTGTAGGCAAGGAGTTAATGCATGGAGTAACAAATGTTATATCCTCAGACACTGTCCTTGTAACTCTGGGAGTTCCCTGTAATAACAGCCTAGTTGTGGTTAAGGGCCGTGGCTTTGGAGCGATGGCTTGGGTGGGATCCCAGCTCTGCCACTCACCAGCCATGTGATTCTAAACAAGCTACTTAACTTATTCACACTCTGGTTTCCTCACAAAGCTGATTTGGGGATTAACTGAGACAAGTCATGCAAATGTTAGCAGTGCCTGCCATGTGTGAGTACTCAATCTACAGGGTGGGCAGAAGTAGATTTACAGTCATGAGTACGCAAAGCAGTTTATTCTTATATTATTAATTATTGTATTATGTTCAATGCAAACAAACAACTGTAAACCTACTTTTGCCCCAAAAGATAATGTTAGCTTTTACTGTTACTACTGCTTAATTATTTTCAAAGTGTCAAGAAGAAAAGACTAGAAAGGAATAGAGTTTATTCTATACTTATGTTTTAATGAGCATTTCTACATCTCATGTAATGACGATATGACATTTATATTAGATTTAAGCAAATAATGGGAGTAGACTTCCTGGTCAGTTAAGACAGGAGGAGCAGACAGGTGGGACCTTGAGTCAAGAGTGAAAGTCTGAGAAGGCGAGGGAGCACCTCTGCTTCACCTGTGCACTGTCTGGTTTCAGTTAAGTGTTTGAATTTCTGGGATGGTTTCCCCATCAACATTGGGGCATTTGTTGAAGGCAGTTATCATAATCCTGCATATCTTTCCCTGGCCTTGTCTGGCTGCTTCTGAATAAAACCTCTTTTAGAAATGCCTGCCTGCTCTGGCTGTTCTTGATTCCCATCGTTCCAGTGTCGACATTGCTCTTGTCCTTTATTATTTTTATTAGAGGCCCGGTGCATGAAATTCGTTCACTGGGGGTGGGGGGTGGGGGGTAGTGTCCCTCACAATCCGGGACTGTTGTCTCCCAACAGCTCACCTGCCTGACTGCCCCTAACCGCTTCTGCCTGTCAGCCTGATCACCCCCTAACCACTCCCCTGCCAGCCTGATCGATGCCTAACTGCTCCCCTGCCGGCCTGGTCACCCCCAACTGCCCTCCCCTGCTGGCCCAGATGCCCCCAACTGCCTTCCCCTGCAGGCCTGGTCACCTCCAACTGCCCTTCCTTGCCAACCATCTTACGACCACATGGGGGCCACCATCTTGTGCGAGGGCTTGGTGGCCAATTTGCATATTACCTCTTTATTATATAGGACTAGAGGCCCGGTGCACAAAAATTTGTGCACGCGGGGGGAAGGAGGGTCCCTCAGCCTGGCCTGTGCCCTCTTGCAGTCTGGGACCCCTCGGGAGATAACGCCCTGCTGACTTAGGCCTGCTCCCGGGTGGCAGAGGGCAGGCCCAATCCCTAGGTGCAGCCCCCAGGTCAGTTTTCAAATGCTTGTACGTGCCAGAAAATATCTGTTCCATGCACCTCACACCCAGCTTCTCCCTCCTTCTGCTCCAGTCTGGACTTCCAGGTCTGCTGCAGAGCTAATGCCATAGGCTTTATACGCTTCCACTGGGGATTCCTGTGTCCTGCAGA